CTAGCAAGCCGGTAATGCTGGATTTGACACGATAAAGAAGATTTTTTCCGCTTTCATCATAGACTTTATATACATATGCTGTGGATTCATCAACGGCTTTGCGGATATAAAAGCTCTTAATAGCGTCCTGTGCATTAACATCGGGCAATATTCTACTGGCCAGTAGAAGCGCAAAATAAATGTAAATTGACATTTTATTTATGAGTGAGGCACAAAAAGATGTATGGGTCTATATAGATCGATCAGCTCAGGTTGAGAATATTATTTTTTCCGATTCCTTTCGCATGATTTATTACTTAAAAAAAAATTACCATGTGAAAACGCTTAAAAGGAGAATTATAAAGACCACTTATGGAAGACAAGTAAATGACAAATATTATGCGAATAATATCGTTAATATTATTCATCGAGAAAAATTAAAGTTTTTTTTTTTTCAATGAATAACTTTGTCAATATTTATTTTCACTTTTGGAAACCATACGACATATAGATGATGATATGTTCTATTTGAAAAGCAAGTGTAACAGGTTTCTTTTTGGCTATAGCCACGTTTTTTCATCCTTGGAATAACTTTATTAAGGCGCCGCCCACCCTAATTTGATTTTAGCCTTCGATCCTCCAGTCTTGCTGATATTTTTACAGGAGGTGTATCTCGGGCTAGGCGTTCGATAGCCCACACTCGTGAGTCGACTAATGTGTATCTCTATCCAATCCGACTACTGTAATTTTTCAAACTTTCACGTTGAAAAAGAAGATTTTTATCTAAAACTGAAAATCAATCAAAAATTTCAAAATACACATCAAGCATCTGTCATGTATAAATCCATTTTTACATGGGAAATCTGGAAAGCACATTGATGAGATCGAAAAGTGAAATGGCGAGGAGAAAAACGCAGTTTCTCAAAGCTAAGGTTTTTGACGAGTTTGAGAGCTCTCAGTATTTTGCGTTTTTCCCTCTGAAAACCTTGTCAAATCGAAAAAATTAGGTGATATTCGTGATCAGCAGCTTATTCTGAATCTAGAAATGTATGTTTAAGCTAAAAAAATAAAATTTGGTGAAACTTTGGATTACGAATTAGGAAAAATATTGAGAGAGCTTTCGGAGAAGAAGTTTTTCAGTTTTAGAGACCTCGAGAAGGTACAGCCCAAAGAAAAATACCGCTACTAAATAGAACAATTGTTGACGAATTAAGTAGTTTTTTATCACCAGATCTAATGAATTGGTTAAGGAGATGAGAGAATATATCAGTCTTATCGAATAGGTACTACATGTTGTACCTCTATGACAACAAATCAGACATTCTTTGTACACATTATGGGCTCAGTAAGAATGAAAAATATATCGTAGATGAAATACATACGGATGACACTGTATATTCTCTATTGCCGTATTACAACTTAATTTCATGTCCATCTATTAAACATTTTCAACAAGCATTCAAACAAATATCAATGAAAGAATCAATATATCCAACAATTTTTTATGTATTTAATCATCTCAAAGAACTCAATGATATTCGTAGATTGTTAAGTATAACTCGGTTTTCTATCACAATCAGTAATGAATACAATCATCGATTAAAACGTGAAGATATAGATAAGAATATACAAAACGTTCAAAAAGAATGTGGTGACACACTTGTATCTCAATCCACACATTTTTAGAAGATTGGAATAAATTACCATTCAGCAGAGTTCAATATGAATGTAAAGAAATCAATTTCGTAAAAATATCAAATAATATTTGTGAGTATACTTCTCAAATGTCATTTAGCTTCTTCTATTACTGATCTCTCATTAGTATTTAAAAATGAATATTCTGAAAACATAAGTTTGAATATCTTTCCTTAAAATACAGTTTTGAAAGGATCTTTGGAAAACCGATTATGATTAGAGGAACATTATAGTTCTTCTTCCATGAATAGATAGTTGCAAAATGTTCTGTTTTTAATGGGAGTTAAGCGAGACTCTCATCTGGAATCATTGAGGGGGTTCTTCAACCTTTTTAGTAAAATAACCAAGAAAAATCTATTTTGTCGGAAATATACAGTTTTCAGTTAATTATGATAAATATTAAAATATTTCAAAAATCGATCCAAATGAACTTCGGGATGTATCGAATTTGAGTTTGTCTCCATAATAACAACGCAAAAAAATTCAAATAAATCGTCTTCATAGGCTGAATTCTTACAGTCTTTTGACGTCAAATTAAGGATAGAAAATCTTGACTTTTTCAACCTTATGGAATAAACTTTAAAACTTCGTTCTAGGCTTGAAACAGTCAAAATTTTGTCTAGTATTTAATGATATGTTTCGGTTAGAATATATCCTGATGCTTTCTTTAACACTTCCGAAATAGTAAACGCCGCCCCAAAACTCCCTCTTTTGTAACAAAGCTAAATATTATTATTTTATCTCATTCATAAGATTTTGTAGAGATTTGAAAGCTGAATCTTTTGGTACCTAAGCGATTATTTTTATGACTATGCGTCATAGAAAAATTCGTTTAAGAAACAGGCTGCTTTTCAGATGTTAGTAAGATTTTTTGACGGAGTTTACTATTTCGGAAGTTTTAAAGAAAGCATAATGATATATTCTAACCGAAACATATCATTAAATACTAGACAAAATTCTGCGTCTTTCAAACCTAGAACGCAATTTCAAAGTTTATTCTATAAGGTTGAAAATGTCAAGATTTTCCATCCTGAATTGATGCCTAAAGACTGTAGTCAGAGTTCAAGAAAATCTTATTGTGATAATATCAGTTTTTGTCTTCTTTTGACCACTGCTATAATCATATTCTGGAATTTCGAACTCATTTCGAAAGTGTATAGATATCACCTAGAAATCTTCAATGATTCAAGGTGAGAGCTTTACTTAAACCTTAAATTAAACAGAACACTTTGCTCTATCGACTCGTGGAAGAAGAACTATTCTGTTTCTTTGATCATGAATAGGTTGTCCAAAGATCCTTGCAAAACTCTACTTTGAGAAAAGATTTTCAAACTTAATTTTTTATGAAAAGATGGATCAGAGTCTTGACTTTTGATTAAGAAAGACTGCAGATTTCTATTATTCACCTGCCTATGTACGTCCACTGCGTCTAAATATTAGGTATACAATAATATCGGGATCCAATATATTGTATTGGTGCATGCCTACATATATTTGAGCGACTTAAACGCAGGATAAAACGCGTTTTGATATACGTCTAAAACAAAAAATATTTTACATGGATGTCAAAACGCTATTCAGAAACATGTTTATGTTTTTTCTATTGTAAAATGGATAGCTTTAATATAGCTGAAAGATTATTAATTTTTATTCGTTTAGTTAAATTAGCATAGTTCTTATTAAATCCATCGAAAAATGACTATAGTAAATTGTTAACTAGTTGTTTATAAAAATTGGCTTATATACAAAATTCATTAATTAATAGTCAATGTCATGATGAATATAAAATAACAATACGTTAACCAATATTAAGTTTGAAAGAAGATGATTTATTCATAATGAATGAAGAAATATTATTAAATAAAATTTATCAATGTGCTTTTATGATTAATTATAAATATGGTTATGGTCCTAATATTGTTTATGATTTTGATGAAATTGAATTATGGTTAAGACAAAAACTAAATAAATGTAAATTAATCGATACAGAAACAGAAAGACAATTTGATCTATTTCATTATCAATTTGAAACATTTGATACTAAACCAAATTTAATTATTAAAATACGTGAATATATACAACAAGAAGAATTACCAATATTGAAGCGAGAAAAATTAAAAGATTTTATAACAGAAAATAGAGATAATTTATTAAAAGTAATTAATTTACTTGATCATATTTTCACCTATTTATAATATACATCAACTAGGTGAACTTATAAATACAAAAATAATATGTTTAAAAAATATTCCAAAATTATTAACAAATGAAAATATTTTTAATATTGAATTAAAATATCTGTTTGATTTATATGAATTAATTGAAGAAACTGTATTTGATAACGATATGTTTGAGACATTTAAAAAGACATTAGAATTTTCAACAGATATTAATCAAAAAATTACTGTAGAAGAATTTGATCGAGAAATAATTAATAATAATGAGTTAATATATGAACCATTAAAAAGTATTCATATTTGGATATCGACAATAAAACGATTATTATTAAGAATATTATCATCAAAACAAGGACAATTATATGATACTGCATTAACAGAATATTTATGTCGACCAGAGTTATGGGATTAAAATATTGATACGAATGAAATTGAAAAAATTTAAATTTAACTTTTACAATAAAAACAAAACATGCATTTTGATATCAATCATAAAAGATAAGATCTATTAGTTGATAATGATGTATCAATGTAATATATTGTTAAAAATAAATAAAATATCATTGTTTTATAGTGGACGTTATTTTTAAACACTATGTTATTGACTGATCAATCTGAGTTGAATAACAAGAGTAGTAAGAATTTTAGACATTAATAATTTTTTACTTATAAAATATTTAATTCTTGATTTTATCTCTATTTATATAAACAATAAAGTATGTGGGAGAATTACGATCTATGTTTAGATGAAATTTTTTTCGAAAAGCTCATGTCGAGCTAAAAAGAATCTGAGAAATACAAACGATAAGTGGACGTTCAGAGAGATGGAGAATAACTGTTTTCCTACTACCACTTAAACAGGAAACTCAGAAAATTTAGCGAGCGTAAGGTGCCGGCAATTCAAAAGATGAGTAAAATTTTATTTTTATCAATAGATCGAGCTCATCAAGTTACCTAGGAAAAACTGAAACGTGGATTTTTGAAAGTCTTTTTTCATTTAAAAATTTTAAAATATCGATATTTTACAAGTGGGCAAAATTGAGCCAAATTTTGGAGAAAACAATCAGGTTCTAAAAGTATCTGAATTACTTTTTATATTCAATTTTGTATGTAAAATCAGACAAAAATAGTATCAAAATTTTGAAAAGACGATAAATCCTGAAATTTTGCTTTTTTCCCAAAATCTGGCTGAATTTTGCCCATTTGTAAAAAATCAATATTTTAAAATTTTTTAAATAAAAAAAGACTTTCAAAAATCCACGTTTCAGTTTTTCCTAGGTAACTTGATGAGCTCGATCTAATAATCAAAAAAAAATTTTACTTATCTTTTGAATTGTCGGCACCTTACTAGGTGACGAGACATTTTAACAGGAAAGTTAGCTTTTCTCAGTCAAAACAAAAGAGAAAGCCTCGATCTTTTCACTAAAGAGGTGGACACATTAGAAGACTTCTATTCTGTCCCTTAAAAGAGTCATATTTTTTGATACCTCAGCAGTCAATGTCAACCTTTCTTCGGTTCAGGTGACAACAGACGCTCAGCTGTTAACCAAAAGTAAACAACTCTGCTGACTTTCAGCTTCAACTTCATTATAACTCTCCTAACAAAAATCTCAACTCCGATTCAACTTGAGTTGCTTGAATTTTGTGATGCAGATTTCTCGGTTTTAGCAATGTTTGGGCGTTTTCGAACTTTTTTTTGGTCAGAAAGCACAAATAACTTCCGAATTCATTTGTGAATAGATTCATCCAGTCGATTAGAAGATCAGTTTTATAACTATTTCATAGTTCCAAAAAAGCAAACGGAGTTGAGAATAAAAGTCTAAAATGGCAACTTCAGCCTCCTGAATCTAAATTCCAACTCCGACTCCAGCTAGACATCAGCGGAATCACCTCGTTTTGGTTCCGTACCCGTCCAGTAACCGTGAAATTTTTGGAATTCTAGTGGTCCAGCGCGAACCAAAAACGTTTCTTATACGCTTTGAAATTTCGGTTTTTAGAGTACTACCAAAAATCAACCTTTTTTAACGGAGGATCTTTTAATCTGTCTTTTGCTTCGCTCGCTCTAACGAGGAAAGGACACCAAGTGATAAATCGCTTCTAGCTTAAAACTTAGTGAACAATAGGTAATCGAATGTGCTGATTCCGGATACTAACATGAGACGGGCCGCTAGGCCTCCAAA